CTGCTGCAAGGTGCGCAGGGAACGACGACGATGCCCGCGGTCCGAGCCAGAAGCTGGAAGCGTTGCGCAAGGCACGGGTCTGCAATGACTGCGATGTACGACAGCTAAACGCTTTTGCTACCGCCTGCCCGAGCAGCCTCGGGAACATCGCAACCAAGTCTGTGCCCCTTGCTACATGAGGCTCGTTGCAGGGCAGCCTCACCCAGTTTGCAGTCCGCCTTGGGCCGGGACTGAATCGTGGTGACGGTGGTCACGATGGTGCCGTCGGGCATGATGGTCCGGTCCATCTCGACCTTCTTAGTGGGGGTGATGCTGGTTCGCAGAGATGTGGCATGCTGAGCATTCAGAGATGCAGGAGACTCTTGGAACAGCAGCTACAAAGAGTAAAGCGCAGGTCAGGCAGGCTCTCTTCCTTTCAGATGGAAAGGCAGGCGTACAAGGGACAAAAGCTACCGCTCTGGGCACCGAGGAGCCATCCTCGCTACAGTGTCGCTTGAACGGAGGGAGGCTCTGGGACCGAGGGCCGGGCAATGACTCTCCTCAGCCTAAGAGTCTCCCGGTCCCTCGTGACGAGCCCAGGCTCAGTCACGCTTGTCTCCGGCCTGAGGCTCGCATCGGGAAGGCTTCCGGGGCACGCCTTTGTGCTGAGCTTAGGGAGTCGTGAGCTCACCTCAAGCATAATGGTAGGTTCTGCCGCCATTGACTTTCCCGCTCCCGGGGCCAGCGAGCAGACCTGTCTCCCAGACACTTGTTTGCCCAAAGAATCAAGTGAAAGCGTGGTATGTGCCAGGAGCACATCTGTGAGAAGGAACAGGAAAACAAAACACACCCCATGACCTCAGCGTCTTCAGATGTATCCCAGGCAACCTTTGCTTTTGAGATGCGGCCCTGCAGACCATTCTGAGTAGCAGAACTCCGTAACCCCGGCAGCTCCCAGGTTCGAGGCGGGCAGTACTCCTCCCCTCCTCTTTACCTACCCAGCTATCACCTCCCTTAAAGAGGTGGCTGTTGCACGGCCTCCCTCAAAAATAAACGTTGCCGTTAGTCCCCGACAGAGCAAACGGCCAGAGTTATGACCCTTCCGCAAAGCTTTTCGGACACACGGGGACAAATCGCCCATCCCTCTCCTCACTTCAGGGTGAAGACGGGTGGGCGAGGAGAACCTCACCCCGTGTTCCAAAAATGCCAGAGTAGAAACATTTCACCAAGAACAGACTCCGGAGTTACTTCCCCACAGTCAGAGGCTCATGTGAAATCAGACACGAAGAACGCTTTGCAGAGCTCATCATACACTGTACCGACGCCGCAGGCTCAAAGCACAAGAAGTCTCTTAGGCATTTTTGTCTCCCCATCTCACGATCCATCTTAGAGCTTCCCGTACTCACTTGCCCCTCCATCACTGCTCCCCAGCACCTGTAGCTTTAGCTCTTTGCTTCTAGGCCCCAACTCCCTGTTGAAACAGAAAAAGACAGTAATCTTTGCAAAACGGCCATGGAACAAACACTCCCATTCGGTATACTCCCTCCCTCAAATCTCAAGCACCTAGTCACCTTTCCGAAAGCTCCATATGCGTGCGCTACGGCGGAGGACAAGATAAGGGGCAACAAACTACGCAGAAGCGAACTCCGGTTAGTGTCCCTTGCAGGGTTGCGTAGGCTGCCTGGGGAAGTCGAGAGAGCAATCTGCCTGGAAAGCTGGGATTTATCGCTCCAGGCATTCTGTACCTGCCGCTCCCATGTGCCACCCACGATGGGGGCTTCTGCCCAACCGGTTAAAACACAGCATCCGGGGAGCGGGAAACACGTACGCCAGCTGGAGCTGATGTCAGCGCAAGCACACGCTGCCCTGCAGCTCAGATTCGGCCTCTGTGCCATCCGCACCCGTTACCGACACCCAGAGGTAACGACACCCAGAGACCGTGACAGTCTGTCAACACTGTGCCAGCCGGGAGGGCAGACACTTACAGAAAGAGCTCCTCATTCCACTCCATCTCTGCCACGGCACCGGCACTGTCGGCTGTACCTCCTCCGTTTCTGCTGCAGGGGGCTGTCCAGCTCTGCCACGCAGCGTATCTCCCCGATTCCTGCAACAGAGGCACAGAGCGCACGGGTGCACTCATCAATGAGAGGTGGCGGCTCGGCGGACGCGCACCCCTCTTTCCCATTCAAAGCCACCCAAAACACCCGCTCGCTCCGATCTCGCCAACTGCACGCTTGCCCCTGCGGATTAGCAATGTTTGCACGCTTACCTCTCTTCCCCTGGCAGCCCAAGTTCAGCACTCGAAGATTCCGGAGCAACAGCTTAGAAGACAGAGGGGCTGCTGCTGCTCTGGATGGGGACTCTCGAGTCAACTTATTGCCGAGTACCTGAGGAACGATGAGAGCGAGACCGGTGCCTTTATCATTGACTCGCCAGCAGCCAGATGTGTGACGTTTGTCCTCGCTTCAACTAAGGAGGTCCTCACATCAACACAGGGGAATACCCACAAAGCCATCAAGAGATGCTGTGGGTTCCCCGGGCTGTTGGCCTCCGGCAGGCCCCCGTGTTAGTCCAGATGGGGAATTTAAGGCAGACGGAAAAAGACACGGGCAAGAACATGCTTGTCAGCTGCCAGATGGACAACGGAAGATGACAGACCACGGCCCGGTCCGTGCCTGACGAGGCTGTCCTGGACGAGGCGTCGGCATTCAGCGCTACAGAGAGACTGCCAAAACAGATGCATCTCGGGCGGTCCGGCTCCACCTCAACTCAGCTGGCCCTCAGCATTCGGGAAACAAGGCACAAACAAAGCCGCCCTTCGGAGCAGCAATTTCCCTATTGCCTGCATCTCAGTATCCCAAACGCCTTTGACGGCACGGGCCGGGATGCGGCCACTGCCGAGTAGCGAGTCTCGACCGTCGGATTCCTGCCCGAGCCCCGGGGCAACAGCGTTTGAGGTGTGAGAAAGACACGAAGAGAGAGCCTTACCGCACCGGCTCCAGCGGTGCAGGCCTTCAGATTCACCATCATGGCCGGCTGCGTGCTGACAATGGTATCTTCGACCAGATCCTTTATGGTGGACAAATCCGCTCTCCCTTCTTTCTTCTCTCCACAAATCAAGAGAAATGCAGGAAAGTCATAACAAGGAAGAAACAATTTCTCCCTATACTGCTCCAATTGCCTCTCGAGCCTCTAAGACACCACACAGTTTCTCATGGCAATAACTTCCCCAATACTCTTCCTATACCCTGCCCTCGCTTTCCCCAGCGCTTCAACCTTCCCTGTAACTGCTGTAGGCAAACGTAAATCATCCACATGAGACAAACTATGCCTCTGCATCTGTAGTCTACCCATTGCAAATGTGTAGACTATATAGCTTTTACAGTTTGCCACACCCTCACCACCCCATGAGGTTGTACTACCGCCATTTTGGGAGAACAGCCAAATTCTTACATCTACTCGGATAGAACAGTGAGGGTGCCAAGAAAACAAACAAATTAACTGACCTATTCAGATCACAGAAGTGCGAGCACATTCAGCCCGTTAAATTTCTAACACTCACAGGTTCACAGGCTAATCTCTCAAAAAACCCACAGGTGAACAAAACTGACCGACCAGCCAAAACAATCCCGCCAAAACACCCCAAACAAACAAATGAGCAAGACTAGAACCAACCCAGCCCATTTTGCAGCTCCACATCTGACAATGGCACGAGGACCCATGTAGACAGAAAACCTACTTTGCTACGCAGACTCCCGTTCAGCCGCTTCTCCGAATTCGGACAACAGACGGCGGTAACACTTTGGCCCTCCCGAGGATGCGCCGTTTTGACGGAGCTGAGCTAGCGTCGATTCCAGGGTGAAAGAAGCCCCTCCCTCGCCCTAAATGGCCACGACGACAAACTGCCAACCTCTCCCCTCCATAGTAGCCTTCCTCCCGGCTCGACACTCTTGCTGCCCCTCCCGCCCTTCCTCCGCTTGAGTCCGGCCTCCCACTGCTTGCCGCTCACCTCACGAGGCTGAAGTCTTGGAAGAACCGAAAGGTTTAAGTTCGGTCTGCCCTCGAACATCCACGACACTAGGAGACCTTCGTTCTGTATCTCCTCCAAGTGGATCTCCACCTGACCCAGAACAGATACCCATAGTCAGGAACACTTTTTGTTTCCATCGGATGCTTTTTGTCCCACTTGAAATTCAGCAACCGAAAGGCCCTCATGCCAGCACAACGATAAGAGACGGAACACAAGAACGCAAGCGGTCCTGGGCCTACGGGAAGAAGGAGCTGCAGAAGCCTCATCGCTCTGTTGCTAGATCTAGCTTCCTCGCTGCCTTTGGACGCTCAGGTGCCATCAAAGGAAAAAACAATAGGTTATTTCTTTGGCTGAAGAAAAAGCCTGCGGGACGATGCGAAAGAGGAGCTGGGCACCGACATGGGATATTTCCCAAGCTACGCCAATTAACCGCTGCAAAACCTAAGCACGACCGTTTGTAAAGTTGGCGATGCGTCTCTAGGATCGAAAACTCATTCGAGTCCAACGGTCTGCAGCGACAAACCAGACTGCTACGCCATCCCGTAGTCCAGCTGAAAATTCACATGCCGGTACGCCTGAGAGGCCTGGTTAACGCAACAGACAGGAACAGGCTTGACCCGCTATCGCTAGTGAAAACAAGGGAATGAAATTGAACATCCTTCTAAGGAGACTGACAGACTGGCATTCATTTACTATGAACACCAAAGGTCGTCAGTTGAAAGCCACAGTTCTGGGACACGGGTGAGTCACCGCCAAGAGGTGCATAAAAGAGGAGAGGCCTACTTAGGAATACGTACTTGAAGTATTCCCACCGACAGACATACGGTAACCTTACTGCTTCTCACGATGCAGCAGCAAGACCTCGATTAGAATACCGCACGCAAGTCTCCAGGAGAATAATCACCCCAAAACTTCAGCAGGCACAGACAAGGAGACCTAGAAAATGCAAGCAAGCAGAAGAGCAATAGGATGAGACGTGACAAAGGCCACCCGCAGAGATGAAAAAGTGACCACAGTTGCTGCCAGCGACTAGACAGCTGGCAGGCACTCTAAACGCCGAGGGGAGAGAGAAGCCACGGAACAGAGGCGCAAAACTGAACCGGGACAATCTGATGTCAGTTGAAAATTTTAATAAAGCTTCCGAGAACAAAGGGGTATTGGAACAATCTTCCAACTGCAGTACCTGCAATAGCGCGGGATTGGCTTCTGCGACCGCAGAGTTACTTCTAATTTCACCTTGCCTGCCAAAAGCGCAAACAAGCACGGGGTCTCCGAGCGAGACGCATCAAGCTGTTCTTCAGGACAGGAACAAAAATCATATTCCAGAGAAGTAAATCCAGCCAGTAAGTGACTACAGAGTTACCACCCGTTGCAATTTCACAGAGCTTCGGTTCCGGAAGAAGCACTTCCAATATTCAATACACAGAAAAATTCTGTCCTACGCTTGTGAGGGTACTAAGGGGAGCGCTGACAAGCAAAGAACTCCTCACCTGAGGTTTCTTTCTCATATTAGCCACCAGGACACTACGACTGCACGGGCCGAACCTTCCCCTGTCTGCGGTGCCACAAGGGGAACTGAACTCTATGGACCTTTTGCTTTTTAAACGCTTAAAACCACAGTACAGTACGCTGTCATGTCTCAGACCTCTCTGGATTTTGTTACGGCTATGTTACGTAGCCACGATCTGCAGAGGACGACTTGGGAAACACGACTCAGCACACAGATTGGGAATATTTGCCATCCTGCCAAGTGTTAGTGACAGCACGATGCTTCTTCCGACATCACGAGGCCTTTATTTGCACTAAACCGAGTCTTCCTTCCTCGGTCACCGTGAGGTCAGGTAAAAGAACAAGTTCCATGGCTAGCTTTTCACGAGCATTACCTGAGTCTGCAGTGCAGCCAAAGTGACATGGTAGGTGTCCACAGAAACGGCGGCTGGGGACTGCTGAGTAACAGAAACGGGGAACTTCACAACTTCAGCTGACAGATGGCAGTGTAGCACCTGGAGAGAAAAGGAAGACAACAGGCTGATACCCTGAGCTAGAGGCAGCCCTGTGATGCAACACCCCTAAAAGCAACAGGCACCCATCGTGGCAGAAACGAAACATCAGGCTTACAGCCAGATCCAGTTTCCTGCCGTGAACCTGCCATTTCAGGCTCCGTACGCGAGGCGGTGAAGACATGCTGGTGATGCCACTGTAGGACCTCGATATTCAGGCTCGGCATCCGTACACCCCGGCTCCACCAACACGGCCTCCACGGAGCTCACGGATGCGCAGCCCCAGCGCCTCAATCTTACGAGCCCGTCAACCGGCTTCTGAACCCAACGACAGGCCTCAGCTTGTTCCACCGTCCCCATCGGGCAGGCCCTGACAATCTCCACAGAGCATGCTGTCGGTCAACCGAGAAACCGCACGCCACAGAATTCAGAACAGCAAAGCCTTACCATGCGGTGGTCCGACTGCTCCTTGCACGTCACCCGACTTATATTTGCGGCTGGTGGCAACTGAGGACTCTCTTCAAATGTGACCTGCACTGAACTCTACGAAAGGAGAACTCCGTTAGTTCCCAGTGGTCAAGGTATCCCAGAGAGTTTCAAAGAGGATGAATGACTCTGACATGAGGCCCCAGAGACACTCCAGTCTGTTTCCACGACAGGTGGCAGGGGCTCTCGGACACTAATCTGACTGACGTATGTACTACTCCCCAAAGAGCCACCTGCCCATCAAAAACTAAGCCTCCTCCTCCCAACACAGATGTGAGGCAGCTCTCCCAGTGAACAAATTTCATACTCGAAAGACTCAATGGAGAAACAACATCAGATCACTCCCTGCTGCACCATACTAGCAATGCCTGCTGTTTCTTCTTCTCGGAAGCCTCCTTCACCAGAGCCGTCTGCTTACCCACCCGGCTCGGTCCAGAATGTCAGATCTGCCCTTTCTCTCTGTGACCAAAGCCTCGGCCCAATGACTCCAGTATATCAGCAGCAACAAGCTTCTGTCCTGTTCTTCCCAACACTTCCCAATCTCAACAAACTGGGAGGCTCTGGCCAACTTCAAAAGATCTCGTTATCCAGCCCACTCGAAACGACCCACATGCACGAGGTAGCATTCATCTACATACACCTCAAGGCAGGGAGAAAACACAGAGAAAGAGGAAAAAAAAAATGAGGAGCCAGGCACACGCTTGAGAGGCAACTCAGCCCCTTTAAAGCCTTTGCTCCATTTTAAGGCAAGTAACTTGAAATCCAAATGGTTTGTGCCAAGAGCCTGTCATACTCACAACCGTCAACTCCTCCACAATAACTCTGCCATTAAAGCCAGCTTTGCAGGGTTGCGTTTCCGTACAGCTTTCTGTCAGCTGATGCAACCAAAACGAAAAAAAAGTGACAGCAAAAGGGCCAAGTACAAGCCTACCTGGGAGAAAGTGAGATCGCTCAATTCTAAGCATGTATGTACCCCCAGCAGGGGGTGGAGTCAGACTGGGAGTGGGGAAGGAGCCACCATCAATTGCAACGAGCGTTATCAGGCCATACGTCCCTTCTCTCCAACAAGAATAGATTCATAGGAGACGAGGACTGGGGGGAGGGGACCACAGGGGAAGGCTTCTTATGGCAAGGCCGGTGCACTTTCAGCAACGGAATTGCCATCTGTTATAAACCAAGGTTTACCCAAAAACTACAATGTGCTGCAAAAAAAAGGAGATGCAGCCTCCCCTTCGAGGTATCGGCAGACGGCAGGACTATCCTTTACGCAACTTCCTTACAAAAACAAAACAACCGAACACATATCCAGCGCAGAACAAGTCTCCTGTTCTGCGCTCTTCAGAAGGCGCTCGTGGACTACGCAGAGAGCGCAGCGGTCTGTCTGAGGCTAACTTCACCTAATCACGCTGAACTTTGAAAAGACCAGAGAAGTACTGGCTGAAAAAAAAAAAAAGAAAATCATCAGCGCTTTTATATTATTAAGCTCCTACTCTCTTCTCATTTGGCAGCCTCCTAGATCGCTTGAAAACACAATTCCCCAGGACACGCAATGAAGTTACGCAGGCTTGCAACAACCGAGACTCAAAAGGCTATACTTCTTCCTATACTTCAAGGATAGCTGCAAGTCCAGGCCAAATGTTGCGACACAATAACTTTCTATAGGGCTCGCAAAGTTTAGCTGCAACTGATGTCACCACTTGAATAGCTACCTCGAACAATGACATATTTCCACTTTGGCTTTGAAAGCGTTCCTTAAGTTCAGGGCCCACCCTAAATCTTCCACCTCCGTCCCCAGATGAAATCTGGGTCATTTCTTACACACGCCCAAAAAGATTTCTGTTCCTTATTTCCAAGGCTCAATCATTATTATCTCTTTCATAGTTTATCCCATTTGACAAGGACCAGGGGGCTGAGCGCTAGAACTCTGCAGCTCAAAAGCAGGCCCGTGGCAGGAATGGAATGACTGAGAGAAAGAGCTCCAAGACAGAGTATTTTTCCAGTTAAAGAGATGTAAGCAGCTCCAGTTAACTCCTGATCTTATCCAGAATCCCACATAAGACACAGTCATAGAATCATAGAATGGCCTTAGCTGGAAGGGACCTCAGAGATCATTTTAATCCAGCCTCCCTGTCGCCAGGGACGCCACCTCTCGACTAGATCAGGCAACACATGGGGACCAAACGGGAATCGAACCCGTGACCTTAGCGTTGTTAGCGCCACGCTCGCCTGACTGAGCTAACCGTCATCCCTTAGGGTAACCACCTGTGGTCGTGCTACACTCCGACATCCGCTTTCCTGTCCTGTTTCCAGTCTAGATTTTAACTCACTTTGTCAAAAGGGGAGACTGTTCCAGTCTTGTTGAAAAAAAACTCAAAAAAAGCCCCTGCCTTGCAGGCAGCACAAGCTATTCCGCAATTACAGCCACATGGAATCGGCGAGGCATATTCTCCTTTGCGAACTTCAAAACTACAGACCAATACAACGGTAACGCTGGGAGACGAGAGGGAATAAACATCAGCACGTTCGCAAGACGTCGCTGTGAAACCTCGGAGCGGCTTTATCAGACCGGGCTCGGGCCCTGGCCCAAACCGCGGCACACGACGTGTGCTGCCCGACGCCGACCGCTCCG